TCCGACTTTCGTTATAACCTAAATATCAATTTTAAAAATCTTCAATTCATGATTTTACCATTGCTTACTCAAAATCATGTTTCTGTCAATTTTACACATATTTTTTTTTTATCTCGAAAACTATAAGAGTATAAGAGATAAGTATAGGTTAGTATAATAAAAAAATTATGAGGTATGAGAGTAGTTTCCAAAAAGGTAATAATATACTAGGTGTTCCATTTAAAATAACAAAGATGCTACCAATCAAATGATCCGGCAACATTGTAATGCTGATAATATTTTAGATAGATGGAGCAGGTGCCTTTATATAAAAATCCAAATTTTCAAAACAATTCTATCATCGGTCCTCCTATTAAAATCGCCGGAAAGTCGGTTACTAGAGATTTTTCGGTTCTAATTTTAAAGCTACCTGAAATTCGAAATTTGCAGTTTGTGTGACAAATCTAGAAGTACCTTAGAATTTTGATGACGACGAGTGAGTCACTGGCGAAGTTAAAGAAGACTAGAAAAAAATCATAATTCATGAATTATTGTTGGTACATTGATATACAAATAAAATGAGAGGAGACCGCTTCGATTAATTCTAATTTTCTACCTTTTTCTCGACTGGAAAGTCAGTTACCGGTAGCGGCTAGACAGCTAACTTTTAATCCATAAGGATATTTCGAGATTTTTCATTTTTTTTTCTTCCATTACAAGCTTAAAACTACTTAAAATTCGAAATTTGATGTTTGTGACACATCTAGAAGTACCTTAGAATTTTGATGATCTATCAGTGAGTCAGTGTAGAAATTAAATAAATTTGACAAGCGATAATTCATAAACTGTGAGATATAATTACAATTATTAGATATTTTGGTAACCTAGCCAGCTATAGTATGTCTTCATGTGTAGTGAAAATTAATATTCGTACTTTATCCACAACGAAGTTACAGGGTGGTCAAAAGTGCCGCGAATACCTTCGAGAAAAGTTAGTCTTCGAGTACGGCTGTACTCGACTTACCGGGGGCACTGCAGATATACTACTCACTACTCATATCTTCGGGAGGCCACACCATAATTGGAAATGGTTGAATAAGCTGAAAATGGTGATGACAATCTTAGGATTATATAAAGTGATCTGAAAGGAAGCAAAAAATGCAATAATATTACAGGGTGTTCTATTTAAAATACATCATACCGATCCACTTACACTTTTTTAACCACCCTATAGAAGTTAAACCATTTCCTTGAAATGCGAAATACATCCTCGTACATACTGTTACGGATTCCGTGGGTCTTTCGTCTTCCGATGTGCCGATGTTCTCTTAATGATGAACGGAATGGCATTTGGATGCGACAATCCCGTTGGATATGGCCATTCCTGCCACATCTATAGCACCTAATATCCTGGGATCTTCTCTGGTTCTCTGTCTGGGTGTTGTTGACTCTCTTGTTCACTAGTAACTCACATAGTTTATTAAACATCTCCTCCAAACGTATGTGAGAACTCTTTGGCTGTTTCTCAACCGTTACCGATCTTATCTTCGGTTTTGGAATAGCGCTAAACGTAGCTTCTATTTCCAGCGCCCTGACCAGTGCTTCGCTGCTGGTAGAAAATCGGAATATTTGCAGCGCCCTCTGTAATTCGTTGTCCCTCAGTCCGCTGATAAAACACTGGGCAGCGAGTTCCTCCCTAAACCCTTCCGGTGCTTCCGGATATGCTAGGTGTACCAGCCGACGTAAGTCTGCTTCAAATTCCTGCAGACTCTCTCCGGACCTCTGCAGGCGTGTCTTGATCTGGGCCTGGTAAAGTTGACGTCGATGTTGATCGCCATATCTTCGGTCCAATGCAGCAACCAAGGTTTCGTACTCCTGCTGTTGGGCTGCAGGAATAGTTTGCAGCAGTTCCAGGGCAGGGCCACGTAGCGTGATGACAAGTGCCGCTGCTTTCTCCTGGTCGGTCCATCCGTTGACATTGCGGCTGCTTCAAACTAGCGGTGGTACATCGTCCAGGTGGTCTGTCCATCGTATGTCGGGGCTTTGAGGTTCGCAGTTCCAGGAACGCCAGGTGCCCTTACTTGTGCTTTGGTCTTCTGTAGGTCCATCTCTAATTTTTCCATTTTCTGCTGAAGGCGTTCCTCCAGATCTTCTACGACTTCTTGGAAATGGTTCTCCTGTCGTTTTTCCATGTCTTCAAAATTCTTCTGTAGTCGAAATTCCTGATTTTCCAAAGTTTTCTTAAGACGGTCCTGATCTTCTTGTCTTTTTTTCTGGTGGCGCGTTTCTATATCTTCTAAAATTTTCCTCCATTCATTCTTCTGACGAATTTCTAAATTGCCTAAAATTTTCTCAAGCCGGTCCTGTTCCTCTTGTTTTTCTTGTTGTCGTTGAATTTTCAAATCTTCAAATATTTTCTCAAGCCGGTCCTGTTCTTCTTGACGGCGTAATTTTTCTTCTTCTTTTTCTTCTGCTTTCTCTCTTCTCATATTCTCCATAAAATCGCCCAATAATTTGCTTACCTCCTCCATTTTCTTCGCTTGTTCTCTTGTCCCAACCATAAAATTCTCCAATCCGGTGAAAAATCTTCAAAATCCACTTAAATCGCACTTCCGACACCAATTGTTACGGATTCCGTGGGTCCACTAATTTAAACTCACGATAAAATACTTAACAATTTATTTTTTTTTTCTCACTCTGTACACACAACTTATACTATTTACAACACAATTTATGCAACTACTATTACTCTAACGATTCTGGCACCTTCGCCAATTAATTCACAATTTAAAAGGCGGTATTATCAAACTTCAGACTGTCCAACTGCCAAGCGCGGGTCTTTATATACCCCCTGGAGAGTGTTTCTGGAACGTTCTAAAGAATTCTGTAATATTCTTTTACTTTCTGGCGAACTCGCCAGGTTCCTTAATGCACGTTGCGGTTATGCAGCAGTAATGCAGTTATGCAACCAGTAATACAGTTTAGCGCTGCATACACCTTGACAATACTTTAGGTTTGCACTTAAACAAAATTCCGAAGTTGTTTATTCTAGGAGCTACAGATGCCCGACGCACTATTGTCGGACCCTGTATAACTTTTGTTTGAAAATATGTTTCAATTTTCAATCATTCGGTATATCAACAAAATTAATTTTAAAATATGCATAGATATACTCAGGGCCGGCGGAAGGCAAATATTGAGACCGGGCGAGTACCCTATCTGGCGCCCCCCCCCCTTAATAGTTATTATAATTCTCTTTTTTTTCAATACTATCCTTTAACTACAACTAAGCATATTTATGCTACTTTAATAATAAATTTTCACTTAAAGATACTTCAAAATTCTACTCTTCTTTCAATCTTAGTCTGTGTTTGTTGTTTTTTGTATACCGGGTGCGTCTCGAAATTGCCTCAACCCTATAACTTCTTTATTTTTTTACGTAAAAAACGAGATTTGGTATCTTAGTATATGACATAAATTAGGATTGACTATTCAATTGTTTTTGGGGAGGGGCCCTTCCTGTTTCATCGGAAATGACTAAAACTTTTGATTTTTAAATGACACCTCGGTATATTTTTACTTTATTCGATAGACAATGACACTCTGAGTAGAATGACATATCATATGTCAACTTTTGACATTTTCATTCTAAAAACATTATATTTTAAATTTCAATCTAGAGGATCGAGCCTTGGAAAAATACAGGGTGTCCCAGAAATAAGTGCAAATATTTTAACTGGTAGTATAGTTCAACCCCAGAAACACGCCTATGAGGCTTTTTTCGCGAAAAAAAAATTTTGAAAATTCGAAATTTTTTTAAAAAAATGTTGAAAATTTTTTTAGTTTTTAGTTAAGAAATATAATTTCTTGATAATATGGCAAGATAGGTATTAGATTAAATTTACAAGAAAGGAAATCCAGAAAAGATCCAGTGGTTTTCAAAATTTTAGCAAAAAATATTTTTTTTTGGAAATTTTCGAAGTAAAATAACTCCGTTATTTTGGACTTATTTGAAAAACGATAAAGAGAAAATATGTTTCTTTTATCGAGATCTAGCACCTCTTAAAATATTTGCACTTATTTCTAGGACACCCTGTATATAAGCTATATATATAGCTTTTTTTTGATGATAAGGATATCCTCTTCAGCTTCTTGCGAAAGAATATTTACCTCATATAATTTTAGGATACATCAGCCATTAATAACAAATAAAAGGGTAGTAGAAAAAGTGCGATTTTGAGCAGTCAGTCTAAAACTGCCAATTTTGCTGGCTCTTGACCCAAAACAGTTTGTTTAGAGAAAATTTATAAAAACAAGAATTATAGAAAGAAAGGTTATTCAAAAAAGTTGATAGCTTTTGAATTATAAGTAAAATACCACGAACAAATCAGATTTATATTTTTTTATTTTATTTTATTTAACTTTTTTCCACGAAAATGAATTAGCAAATCCCAGTTTCAAATAGAGCACACAAAAAAACATATAGAATGGAAGAAATTAAAACTATCCCAAAGCTTTCATGCAAAGGATTTTTTGAGCATAATTTCAGTAAACTATAATAGGATACGTCTAGGATATAGTAGTGTTTATAATGTCAGATATTCTTCCCTATGTGGTGTGGTGTGTGGTAATAGGTAATATTTTAATGTGGAAATTGATAGTACCGATTAATTATTGATCTGGTCATTCGTTTCTGTTTTTAAATATTTTAGTTGCCGTCGTGGCGCCCCGGGCAGCCGCCCGGGTCGCCCGGCCCTTCCGCCGGCCCTGGATATACTGCGTATATTATAAAAAGATTGGAGTGAAATTCTCAAATCAAATACCTGATATAGAACTTTTTCGAAGCAGGTCCTTTTATGTCCTCCACCAGTGAAATTTAGAAAAAAACTAACTCAACGATATGGTTTATAATTATTAACTGTTTAGACGCAAGAGGGTAAGGTTTTTTCAAAAACCCTTTACAAAAAAATTTAGTGGTAAAACACACCTAATAATATTTTCAGGTGTTAATTCTTATTGTTTTAAACTTGATTGTCAAAGTAGTTTTGTCATTGAAATTGATTATTTTTTTTTACTGTAAAATGGCTAAAATTGGTATAAATGGCTTCGGCAGAATTGGAAGATTAGTTCTTAGGATATCTCTGGAAAAAGGCGTAACTGTGGTTGGTATCAACGATCCATTCCTCGATCCACAGTACATCGTTTACCTCTTTAAATACGATTCAACTCATGGAAGATTTAAAGGATGTCTATCTACGGACGGGAAAGATATATACGTCAACGGAAACAAAATAGAAGTGTTCACGGAAAAGGATCCTAAAGCCATCCCCTGGGGCCGAGTAGGAGCGGATTATGTTGTAGAATGTACAGGGGTCTTTACAACTATCGAAAAAGCATCCCAACATTTGCAAGGAGGAGCGAAGAAAGTTATTATTTCAGCACCATCAGCGGACGCACCTATGTTTGTTTGTGGAGTGAACCTTGAGAAATACGATCCTTCGCAAAACGTCCTATCGAATGCCTCCTGTACGACCAATTGCTTAGCCCCGTTAGCCAAAGTGATTCACGACAACTTTGAAATAGTTGAAGGACTAATGACCACTGTCCACGCCGTTACGGCCACTCAAAAAACTGTAGACGGGCCATCTGGAAAGCTGTGGCGTGACGGGCGCGGAGCTGCGCAGAATATCATTCCGGCTTCAACAGGAGCAGCCAAGGCCGTCGGAAAAGTTATTCCATCGTTACAAGGAAAATTGACGGGCATGGCCTTCAGAGTACCAGTACCAAATGTGTCCGTAGTTGATTTAACTTGTCGATTGGGAAAAGCAGCATCTATGGATGAAATTAAAAAGAAAATTAAAGAAGCTAGTCTGAATGAATTTAAAGGAATTATGGGATATACTGAAGAACAAGTAGTTTCTTCAGATATGAATGATGATCCCAGAAGCTGCATTTTTGATGCCGGCGCCTGCATATCCCTTAATGACAACTTTGTGAAATTGATTGCATGGTATGATAACGAATTTGGATATTCTAATAGAGTACTTGATTTAATTAATTATATTCATTCAAAAAAATAACTGGCTCCTCCAAATAAAGTTATTACAACACAGACGTACATTTTCTTTTTTTTCTATAAATTACTCATCCTTTTGTGAATTTATAAAAATGTCATTTATTAATCAGCACTCCAGATAAAAATACCAAAAATTCGAAACAAAACGGAGTCAGAGTTGCCTTGAAAGCGAAAATCGCTGTAATTTTGAAATGTAAATTTAGTTTTTCTACAACCGTTTAGTTATAACGTTTCTACATCACTATTTTTTAGTATTTCAGTTACGTTATGAGATTCATAACACAACTAGTGGTGTTATGAATCTATAACACAACTACTTTTTATAATACTGAGAAACAAATACGAACATCTAAATATATTAATTTTTCCGGCAATAATGATTCCGTTGCACGTACTGCGGAAACTTCTACATCTGAAGGGAGACTTTCGGAATCGCTCATCGTAATTTTTAAAATGATTTTTCTGGGCAAAAAGTGCTCGCGTTTATTTGACAGGGCAAACTGACTTTTCAGAAAAAAAAATGTGACAAATGTCATAGTTAAAGGTGTTAAAGTTGGGCGACTAATAAACGAAAATTAAAACAGCATTTTCTTATTTTTCGGTTGTAGATAAAACGTTGTACATGACACGTGCTTTTAAACATGATTACAACACTCGGTCTACGACCTCGTCGTTCTAATCATTCACACTCGTTGTTGTAATCATGTTCATAAACACACTTGTACTGTAAATAACTATTAACTTATTTACAATACAATCGTTACATTAACTGTTTAGCATATTATATAGTGGTGGTTTCAAAAATGGATATTTTCATCAATAAACATAGGAAATCCCATGTAAATTTTAAAAATTAACTTAAACTCTACTGTACTGATGTTCACGAAAAGGATCCTAAAGCTATCCTCTGGGGCCGAGTAGGAGCGGATTATGTTGTAGAATGTACAGGGGTCTTTACAACTATCGAAAAAGCATCCCAACCTTTGCAAGGCGGAGCCAAGAAAGTTATTATTTCAGAATATCATTCCGGCTTCAACAGGAGCAACCAAGGCCTTCGGAAAAGTTATTCCATCGTTACAAGGAAAATTGACGGGCATGGCCTTCAGAGTACCAGAACCAAATGTGTCCATAGTTGATTTAACTTGTCGATTGGGAAAAGGAGCATCTATGGATGAAATTAAAAAGAAAGTTAAAGAAGCTAATCTGAATGAATTTAAAGGAATTATGGGGTATACTGAAGAACAAGTGGTTTCTACAGATCTGAATGGAGATCCCAGAAGCTGCATTTTTGATGCCGGTGCGTGCATATCCCTTAATGACAACTTCGTGAAATTGGTTGCATGGCATGATAACGAATATTGATATTCTAATAGAGTACTTGATTTAATTAATTATATTCATTAAAAAAAATAACTGTCTCCTCCAAATAAAGTTATTACAACACAGACGTACATTTTCTTTTTTTTTTGTAATTAACTCCTCCTTTAGTATATTTATAAAAATGTCATTTTTAGTAATCAGCATTCCAGATAAAAATACCAAAAAATCGAAACAAAACGGCGTCAGAGTTGCCTTGAAAACGAAAATCGCTGTAATTTTGTAATGTAAATGTAAATTTGGTTTAACTTATTTATAATACAATCGTTACATTAACTGTTTAGCATGTTATACCAAATGCGTCTCAAAAGTGTCTCACCCCTATAACTTTTTTATTTTATCAGATAAAAAAGCGAGATTTGGATAGGTCTGTTCTCAGAAGAATCCCTGACTAGTCAGCGTATTTCTTATTGGTTGAAATGTGTAGAAACCAGACTAACAATCAGGTTTCTACGCATTTTAACCAATAAAAAACGTGCTGACTAGTCAGGGATTCTTCTGAGAACAGACCTTATATGACATAAATTAGGATTGATTGACGTATTCAATTCCTTTAAGCCACTTCCTGTTTCTCCGGAAATGACTACAACTTTTGAGCACTGTGTTTTGAGTTTTAAATGGCACCCTCGGTATTTTTTTACTTTATTCGATAGAAAATGGCACTCTAAATAGAATGACATATCATATTGTTGCGGACCCGTGTGGACTCGACCTAACCTAACTATATGTCCCGCCCTCAGATGACCTTAACATCGCATTAAAGAATAGACACCGTAATGATTCATTCGAACGTTCGAGAAAAAACGAGTGCCACTGGAATGGAGTAGTACATACGAGAACATTCGAAACCTTCTCTATGCACCTAACGATCTATGGACTATTCGAGACATCTTTAGCAGTGGGTATAAAAGTATAAAAGCCGGCGGCTGGGGCCTAAATGGGACAGATATAAATAGACGAGTACAGTTGACGCGCTAAGTTCAAAATAAATTCTTTCTAGATAAATAGTTGGCTTTCTAGATAAATAAATTGTGACTTTCTATCCACACGGAACCGACGAAAAACGTAACAATATGTAACTTTTGACTTTTTCATTTAAAACAAAATTGTATTTTAAATTTCAATTTAGAATGCCATGGTTGTGTTTAAAACACAAACAACTTTTAATCAAGGAGCCTTGGAGAAATATATTTGATCGTCTAATGTTTTAGTGTCTTTTCCTGGTCGGTTAAAAGATGCCCAAATGCTCAAATCGTATTTTTAATCAATCTCGATTTTTTCAAATGGAACGAAGGTGGCTCATTAGCATATTTGGAAAAAGCATTTTTTACGAATAATTTGGTACTACACACTTTTGACTCGAATTGGTACTTCGAGTCAAATTGTCGTTATGAATCGCACGTTGCAATTTCAAATAAACCGTATTCGAAAATATCAGAAGTTGACATATGATATCATGATATGACATTTTATTCAGAGTGTCATTTCCTATCGAATAATGTAAAAAAATACCGAGGGTGCCATTTAAAAAGTTGTCTGTGGTTGTAGTCATTTTCGGTGAAACAGGAAATAATCGAAAACAATTGAATACGTCAATCAATCCTAATTTATGTCATAAGGTGCGTATTCACTTGCAACAAAACACTCCGAACAAACCAAACGCGCCGCGCACTCCAAACAATCTGCAACAAAACATTTTCCGGGAGCGCTCTGAACGACCTGCAACAAAACATTTTGCGCGGAGCGTTCCGCCTGTTTGCGGTGTTCGCTGCGTTTCCACCAGTAATCAGTGTGTGAATCAGTGTTAGTGTGTTTGTCGATAAGGATGCATCTGATATTACCATAGCCGCTGGTACTTTTTTAATTATAGAGGCATTAGCAGGTAACAAAAAAGAGAAAAAAAAGGAATGGACGAAAAATGTGGGCAAGACGCCTCTTTTTGCGCCGTCAATATAATATGGCCTTACTTAGTGACCTAGATTACATGCATAAGAAGCATTTAATTAATTTAATAATTAATTATTAATTTAATAAAATAGGCCGCCTTTCAAACTCATCAATTAACTCACAACACTTTTCTCTGTTCCACTCCATAGCTAGGTACAGTTTAGAAACACCCCAAACACAACGAACGTTCAAAACTGCCGTATCCACTGAACACCGGCCAACGAACATATTCTTTTGAGCAAATCCCGTTTACCGACAAGCTTGGGAAAATGTTTGGCGCGTTCGGTTCGGTTCGGCGCAACGTACTGACTACACAAACTTGTAAAGCGCGCGCGGCGCGTTTGGTTCATTCGGAGTGTTTTGTTGCAAGTGAATACCCACCTATATACTAACATACCAAATGTCGATTTTTTATCTAAAAAAATAAAAAAAAGTTATAGGGGTGAGACACTTTTGAGACGCACCCGGTATAGTGGTGGTTTGAAAAGTAAACCATTAATAAACATAAGAAGTTCCTTGGGAAGTCCCATGTAAATTTTAAAAATAATCAATAAGTTTTCCTCATTTTATTTTAAAGAAACATTTATTTGACTTTATACGTGCCAAAAGTAATTTATAAATATGAATAATTATATATTATGTAACTGGAATAAAAAATTATAGTTTAGTGGTATTTATGGAAAAAATAATCTACAGGTTGTAAAAAGTATTTTTTGCACATTTTCTAAATAGGCCAGAACAATAATTTGAAGTGTTGAAGTAAATAATGTTCTGAAGTGTCAAAATCATTATTTGGAGTCATATTTTATATGTGATTCTATTCAGAGTGTTATTTTCTGTCGAATAAAGTAAAAAAATACGGGAGGTGCACTTTAAAAATCAAAAGTTGTAGTCAAAACAGGAAGTGACCGAAAACAATTGAATACGGCAATCAACAGTGGCGGATACAGGGGGGGGGGGGGCATTAGGTCCGCCCCCACCCCTAAAATCTGTAAAGTGTGTCACCCCTAAAATCTGTAAAGTGTGTAAAATATTAGGCTTTTGGGTTAAAAATGGCGCCCTAAAAAGCATATTCTACATGGCTTTTTATTTTGGCCCCCCCTAAAATAAATTCCTGTATCCGCCCCTGGCAATCAATATATCGTATATCGAACATTCATGAAGATTTTTTAATCACCTTGTATATTTCGAGAGATACAATATTTGATAAAATATTTGAAAACACTAAGCTCATGCCATCTGTTAGCGAACTTCTGTAGCAAAATAAATAACATTCATACTGGTACAGACATCTGCTCTATTCCATCAATACCAAGTTAAAGAACGACACCATTGACCACTAGGTGGCGCTGATATAAATGAAATAAAATATTTTAATTATTTAAACAGTAATTTTAAGACGACTGATAACACAAACCAAACGCAAGAATAGAATTTAGAATTATTATATTAATAACCTTGACATAAAAACATATTTATATAAATAATATTGTCTTCTTAAAACCCAGAATGTTTTAATAATAAATTAAAATTATTTACTATTAAAAGAATCAATATCAAAAAATAGTTCATTTTCAAATTTTGTCTTTTCTTTTAAATAGAAAGTATTTTATACAACTTTAAGAAGATAATTTAGAAATTTTAAAGCAGTAAAATCTTAGTAAAATCCTTGTCTATATATAATAATCAAGGGTAAAATTAAAATTATTCTTGCGCCATCTAGGAAAATATGTTCATAACCTTATTTGAGCGCCACCTATACAAAAGATGGCAGAACTACTACTCAATCAATACTGAAAATTACAGAATGCTCTTAATCGATAAAGGCTGCCCTATAACTTATTATTATCGTCGTGTACTAGATGGCGCCATATAAAATTTAATAAAAAATTAAGAAATTTATAAAAATATATAAAAAACAAACTAAAATACACAACACATTGTTCAGATTACTATCATGTTTAGTATGTGAGTGCACCAAATATGTGAAATAAAAGATTTATAAAAATATTTTGACTTTGGAAATTATTTACAGGTAAGAGAATAAAATAATAAAGAAATAAAAATGTATGTTTATAAAATTTAAATTACTATAAATGAATTTAACTTTTAAGACAGGCAATCTAGAAAAAAAAATAATATAAATAAAATGTATTATAAAAAAATTGGAGGCACTTGAAATTTCAAAATCAGACAGAACCAAAATAGGTGTATATTTAAAGAAATATTTTAAAAAATCTGGCATATACTAGAAGGGCCTTTGACGAAAAAAAAACGTGTGCAATACTTGCTTTGCGAAAAATAAAATCTCTCTTGAAATTTAGTTTATTTTATTCAAATAGACCAATTTTCATTATACAGGGTGGCGCCTCTCATACGCCGCGGAAGCTCCAAGGAGAACGGTAGTTTATATCGAAATGACATTTTGGCAGCATATGTAGGTTAACTGAAAGCATTATTTTATAAAAATATATAGAATTATACAGGGTGGCCCCAAAAAAAGTTACACATCAAAGTTGTGTTTTTTTCTAATATAACACCCTATATATTAACTGATTTTCGGATTCTAGAAAAAAAATCAAGGTGAGTTTTATTAAAAAACCATATACCTAAAATCTTAGGATTTTGACATCTTTCACATTTTGTGAAAATGAAAAGTAAATTTTAAGTTTCGATAACAGCTACCTAAATTTTAGCTGACCTTGTATAGCCTGATATTTAATTACAGTAACCATTGTATGTTAAACCAAATTTTAATTTGACCCGAAAAGTTATACAAGGTGGGACAAAATTAATATGGAACTTTAGTCACTTTTAAAAGCAAGTTACTCCTTTATTTTAAATGGAACACCTAGTATATTATTCCGGCGTTCAATGGGAAATTTATATATCTTCAAAATATTATATGCCTACCCCTCAGACAAAGATTTTCTTAGATATTATAATTTTTATGATTTTGGGTCAGTAGATCTTTATTATTTGAAAAAATCTAGGGTGGCTGTGATATACCTTTTGTTAATAATTTAAGAAAAATTAAAGCTTGTAGAGTAAAATACTCAACGGTAATAAAAAGATACACGTTTAAAACATATTTTATTTATTACACAATTAAAACTAGATATAAACCTATAATTATATATGACAAAAATGATCAATCAAATGAAATCAAATGCTCAAAATGCGTATTTTCCTGTTAACTGCATAAAATGATTGTCTTTTCAAAAGGATCGTTTCATTTTAAAAATAATATGTGGAGTTCTACGTCAAAAAGCAGCTACAATAATTTCTCTCATGTTGTCGACAATAGTTGATCGAGTTTTTTAAACACTGTCTTTAATTGACATATGCTTTAGTTTACAAATGAATGAATGATTTTATTCGAATAAAACCATTCGATAGTTGAAATCATTCATTCATTAACCATTCGATAGTCTAATTCATTCGATAGTTCCCATCGCTAGTCTTTAACATATCCCCATAAAAAAACAGACTAGATAAAATCAGGGGCATTTAAGTATTCTATTAATTGGTGAATGCACACTGCATTCACCTGATTCACCAACTAATAGAATCATATCAATTCTCTTTAATTAATAGTATTTTGAAGAGACATGAATTCTCCATTGAAAATCGGAATAATATACTGGGTGTTGAATTTAAAATAAAAGAGTAACATGCTTTTAAAGGTGACCAATGTTTAATATTAATTTTGTCGCACCCTGTATAACTTTTTGGATCAAGTTTTAATTTGATTTAAAGTACAATAGTTAATTTAACTACATATTAGGCTATACCGGGTAAATTCCAATTTAGGTAGCTTTTATTGTAATTCAAAAATTGTTCTTTATTTCTAGAAAATGTTAAATATGTCAAAACCTTACATTTTAGTCATATACTTCTCTTATAAAACTCACCTTTATTTTTCTCTCAGAATCCAGAAATCAATTAATATATAGGGTGTTCCATTACAAAAAAACACAATTTTGATATGTAACTTTTTTTGAGGACACCCTGTATTGTCTCTCTATATTTTTACGCAAAATTTCATTTCAATACAAACTGTCGTTTTCCTTGGAGCCTCATGAGAGGCGCCTAAACTATATCTAAAAATTATTAAGGAACGAGGCTTAAAAGTACTGTATAACATGTATTGCTTAAAAGTACCGTATAACATTGCTTAAAAGTACCGTATGATCTAAAAAATGGCGTCCAATTGGCTTGGAAATGAACATCGCTGACATTCCCCATATAATTTTACATATAAAATGATAGTGATCTTCATTTCATAGCCATCGCTGACGCGGTTTTTTTTTCGATCATATGGTAGCATTTTTGTAACTCTCAATACCAATGAAATAAGAAACTTTATCGTTGACTTACAGTAGGTAGGTATTCATTTCTAGTGAAATCATTGATGTCTACGTTATAGTACTCTATTATAAAAAGAAATATTATAAATGTTTCCATGTTTTATAGAAAGAAAAAATGACTCTTCCAACAGCTTTACTAATCTCAAACATCGTAAACAAATCCATAGCATCTGAGATTCAAGAAACTATAGGAAATCAGTCCAGTATGGATATTTTGTCTTGTAAATGCGATCTGCATTCTGACGAACCGTATTTGATTCCCACAACTCCAAAATGCACTCTATCCGACTTTATAAGCGATAAAGGTAAATATGTATACAGGGTGTTTCAAATTCGACTCTCGCATAGGGTCCTAGAAAACGGTAAGAGATACGAGGTAGGCATGTTCGGTCTTCCGGTATACCGGTTCCAGGACCCGTACTTTTGAAATATTCCGGTATCGGTATTGTCTTTTACATGACCGGTATACCGGTTTCGACACCGGTACCGGAAGATCTATTTTGGTACCGATACCGGAAGACCGGTTTAAATCGGCCCCGAAAGACCGATTTCTATCGATACATAAAAATAAATTCATGATAACATGAAAATCAAAAAAACTTTATAAAACGATTTTGGTACCGGTTTTTGTACAAAACTGATTGTGTTCTCCTACTCTAGGTACGGTATGATCGAAAAAAAACTGCGTCAGCGACGGCTATGAAATGAAGATCGTCATTTTATATGTTAAAATATATGGGATATGTAATCGATGTTCATTTCCGAATTAACTGGACGCCGTTTTTTTTCGATCATTCGGTATAATACGGTCAGGAACATGCAATGTAATTTATTTTGATGTATGTTTAAAGCATTGCTAGTTTAGTTTGGTCTAGTAACTTGGTCTTCTTTTTTTAGTACCTACATCTAAAATTCAAGTAAGGCATCTTACTCATGGATCACTCATGTAACTATATTATATAAATTAAAATGCCCGTAAACTTAACAATATTCTATAGCGTCTACTGTATTATTTAAAATATATAAAATAGCATCTTATTTTCGCTCCATTTATATCTCCAAGAACAGCAGCTTCCGGTACTTTTTCCATTTTTCGTAAGTAAGGAGAATGCTGAACAAGAAATCAAGAATATGCCGAAAATATGAAAATAAACAATGAGAATCTTAAGTTAGATAAATATTGTTATAACGGTAACGGACAGATTTACCATATATTCCGAAAAAAAAACATCAAAATAGAGTATTTATTACGTTACCGTATTTACTTAACGTTACAGGAATGAAAACTTTCTATTTATATTTTTTAATACGGTATCATGGGATATATGCTCACTAGCACAACAACCTAAACTGTTATTTCGGTCCAACCGGTCTTTCGGCCCATCCGGTCTTCCGGTCCAACCGGTTTTCCGGTCTAGCCGGTATACCTGTTCAGTATCGGTCCCACCGATCTAATTGCTCGAATCGGTATAGCGGTTGTAGGACCGGTACTTTGTGAAACCGGATACCGGTACTGAAATCTTAGAACCGAACATCCCTAATACGGGGTGGCTAGTGACGATCAAATGAAATAGAAATATTATCGATGGGTTGCGGGTCACTTTCGTTATATGCATATAAAAAAACAATTTGGGTAAGTGCGATATATCATTAAGAAGTCATAAGTAGAGATGAGCAAAAAATCGCAAACTGCGATACAATCGCAGCGATCTTAAATTCGCAACCTGCGATTGGCTCTTATAGGCAATTGCGATTGCGATTTCTTCTATTTGCGAGTTTCAATTTAAGCAACCAGTAATATTATGGCTACGATTTGCGATTTTGCTGCGATTGTGATTTTGTAAACTGGGCCCGTGATTGCTATCTGCGAGTTTGAATTTTTAGGAGTTGCGATTTGCGATATTATTGCGTGTATAATTTTGTGGTCTACTGAAGCATTTTATAGTAAACTGGGATTGAATTTTCTCTCTGATATTAGCTTTGTTGGGGTTCTTGTTATTAACGATTCTGAACCGTCCTAGAGTTCTGCAGCGCATGCGCAAAAGAAATAATGTCTTCATATTTCCTTCTGCGCATACTCATCACAGTTCTAGGACGGTTCAGAATCGGTAATAAGAGAAACCCGAAGTAATCTATTATTTATTTATAGAGAAGGTATTATGTTCTAGGGCCACGAGCAATCATATACCGGGTGTTTCTCAAGAGTGGCTCACCTCTATAACCCTTTCATTTTTTCTAATAAAAAACGAGATTTGGTATGTTTGTATATAACATAAATTAGGATTGACTGACGTATTCAATTGTTTATGACCACTTCCTATTTTACCGGAAATGACTACAACCTACAACTTTTGATTTTTAAATGGCACCCTCGGTATTTTTTTTACTTTATTCGATAAAATACAATGGCAGATCATATGGCAACTTTTGACATTTTCGCTTAAAAATCGTATTTTAAATTTCAATCTAGAATGTCATGGCTGTGTTAAAAACACTAATTTTGATCAATATGCCTTGAAAAAATAGATTTGATCCTCTATTGTTCGCGTCTTGTCCTGACCAGTTAAAAGATGCCCAAATCGTATTTTTAATCCTATTTCAATTTTTTCAAATGGAACGAGGGTGGCTCATTAGCATATTTAGAAAAAGCATTTTTACGAATAATTTGGTTTGGTGAATAATATTAAAATTGCAATCGCAGGTTACAGTCGCTGCGATTTAAAAATCGCAATCGCAGTTTCAATTGCCATTGGAGGATCGCAGTTTTGCCCATTTCTAGTCTTCTTAAAAATGAAGTGTATTTAGGAACGGAGTATATAAATTATTACGAGTTCTATGAATATCGTTGAGACATACATATTTTATACAGAATGTTTCAAAAAACATGTGCTATTTCCCGTGGGAAGATTCCTCACACAAAAATAAAATTTATTTTTCATTCAACATGGGTTCGATTCTGTTTTGTTTCGTAGCTAGAGGAGATTGGTCCTCTGTTTTTTCTTTTATTAGAATTTTCTTCCAAGAATCACCAATAGCGATTCAAATTAAATTTGGGGGGTAAAAGTTACTATGAGTGCTACATATTTTAATGCTAAAAAAAGTGTCCACAGATTCACCATGGACGTGCATATGGGTTACCACTGGAATATTTTTTCTAAAAAAGCATGTGCGCACTGATTTTTTCCTCTTATTAACATAATTGTGTAGGCCATTGAATGCCGATTAAAAGTTGTATCCATATACAGGGTGTTCCTGAAATAAGTGCAAGTATTTTAAGGGGTTAGATCTCGATAAAAGAAACATATTTTAGTTATTTTACTTTGAAAATTTCTAAAAAAAAGATTGTTTGCTAAAATTTTGAGAACCACTGGATCTTTTCTGGATTTTCTTTCTTGTAAATTTAATCTAATACCTATGTTGCTATACAGGGTGCGTCTCAAAAGTGGCTAACCCCTATAACTTTTTTATTTTTTCAGTTAAAAAACAAAATTTGGTATGATTGTATATGACATAAATTAGGATTGATTGACGTATTCAATTGTTTTTGGTTTGGTCACTTCCTGTTTCACCGGAAATGACTATAACTTTTAATTTTTAAATGGCCCCCTGGGTATTTTTTTACCTTATTTGATAGAAAATAACACTCTGAATAGAATGACATATTTATGAAAATGTCAACTTTTCCCATTTTCGCATATGGTTTATTTGAAATTATAACTTGCGGTTCGTAACGAAAATTTGACTGGAAATACCAAGTGTGTGGTATCAAATTATTCGTAAAAAAATGCTTTTTCTAAATATGCTAATGAGCCACCCTCGTTCCATTTGAAAAAATATATATGAGAGATATGATTAAAAATACGATTTGAGCATTTTCTAACTGGCCAGGACAAGACACTAAAACATTAGACAATCAAATCTATTTTTTCTAGGCTCCTTGATTAAGAATTAGTATATTGGCTATGTTAAATGACACACTAGATTGAATTTTAAAACACGATTTTTTATTAAGCGAGAATTTCAAAAGTTTAATATATGATGTCATTCTATTCAAAATACCGAGGGTTAAAAATCAAAAGTTGTAATCATTTCTGGGGAAACAGGAAGGGACCAAAAACAATTGAATACGTCAATCAATCCTAATTTATGACATATTATACTAATATACCAAATCTCGTTCTCTTATCTGAATAAATAAAAAAGTTATAGGGGTGAGCCAGATTTGAGACATACCCGGTATTATCAAGAAATTATGTTTTTTACCTAAAAACTAGAAAAATTTCAAATTTTCAAAAACATTTCGAGACGACTTTAAATCAGCATTTAATAGTCTACTCAATTTTGCCAAACCAAACCAAACCAAACCAAACAAAAGAAAAAACAGTGTGTGCACATATTTTTTTCTAGAAAAATATACCAGTGACAACCCGTATGCACGTCCCTGGTGAATATGCCGACACTTTTTTAACCAATGAAATTAGTCGCACTTAGGGTAACTTTATACCCTCAAAATTCCAGTCGAATCGCTAAAAGCACTTGGAAGAAAATAATAATAAATCGAAAAAAGATTAAACGAACGACTAAAAAAGACTTTAACCCCCTGTAGCTACAAAACAAAGCAGAATCGGATATATGTTAATATGAAAAATAAATAATATTTTTACCAGAGGAATCCTCCCAGGAGAGATGGCACATGTTTTTGAAATACCCTGTATAACCCAAATTACACGCATCAAAATATTTTTTTTTAGATATGAAAAAACTGAATTCCAATGCCAAAATAAATTCCATACCCAACAAAATCAAATCGGCGAAGAGTCAAATAATACAGTGTAAAGCAGTTCATACTTATTCGTACTTTTCCGATCTATCCCATATCGAACGGATAACTTGTTTCGGATCTGCAGAACCATCAAGCAAACAAGAACTAATGAAATGTTTAAGTGTGGCGTTGGACTCGTTAGAAAACATTGATTATCGATTCAAGAAAAGTTATATTTACGAGGGAAAACAGGTACGTTTCCATTTTGTGTCAATATATCCATCCTCCATTAGAGTCTAACGAGAGTTAATTATTATAGAGTCTAATAACAAAATAATAGTTGCATCTTTTGCAACCGCCCCCCCCCCTAAATTTACATAATACCCTAACCCAGTTCCTAAATTTACCTACCTCTGAGTTAAAAACATAGCTCAAGAATATTAAGGACAAAACTAAAGCAAAAATAGCAGCATTCAACGTAGTGACATAATGATTGACATAATGTACAAGTATATGTTTTTTATCTCCTCAGATGCTAATTTTTAAGTACTTTGATAAATAAGGTAGATAGTAGTACCACAGATCATACAGATTATAAACTTATCGTCAAAAGCATTGTTTTTCGTGGTTCCAATTTTTGGAGTCGCGCACTAGTTAGTTTACTAGTTTGCGCACAAGCACGCCCACTTATGGCCTCTAAAATTGTGCACAGCGCCTGACCGGCCTTGTGACCGGCCCAGTCATTACGCTCTTTAAACGGGAGTTTATTTTTGCGCCCAAGAAAATTTACTCGTTTGCTCATCGTCATAAAAAACAATTTTCGTACCAAGAATTAGGGACAAGATTTTTATCTGTATACTTATAGGATACCTAATCTGTGGTAGTACCATGGAGTACATCATAGAATTTTATTTTATTTATTTACGCAAACTTAAAAATTCGTAAGTATATAGACAATTAAATTTAAAAGAAAAACAGATTCTCTTATTCATATATCTAGATATATACAGGGTGAGTTTCTTACGATGTTCTCTATGGGTATCTCGGAAACTACTTGAGATAGAAAGTCGGTTAAATGGGGAAAGAATTGCAGTTTTGTGGGGTCATAAATATGCGCCTCAGATTTTTGAAAACGTTCATGGCTTACTAGATATTTCGAAAAAAACAAATTTCGGCTATTTTAAAAGTTGTTCCTAATTCCCTTATAAGCTATTTTAGACAAAAAGTTTTCAGATAAAAGTTGTAAATCATCATATCCTTTATGAGAATGTGCCCTCCGTTTTCTTCTAAAGCCTGTCGTTTTTGACATATGACACAAACATATGTTTTTTAAATAGAAACCATAGTTGGCCATGACTTCATAAAAAGCGCCATTTTTAAGCTTTTCAGCGATATAAGCTATAATATGTTTTCTTCGAAAAATTACTGAGTTATAGACAATTCTTATCATTTTTAAACAATTTAACTTAGTTAGCCATGGAAACACGTTTAATCGCCTTTGCTCTCAGAAATGTGAAGCTGTCACATCCAAACTTCGAAAATTAAAATTACCAAAAATTGTAAATATGAATTTTTCAAATGAAGAAAAGCGTGTGGGATTATTGGTTCAACTTTTCTTGACCATACAATTTCGAGGATACGTTGACCGGTGAATGTTACGTTTTTTAGAGAACGGTTTTCAAGACATGTTAGGAAAGTTAAATTTAGTTATAGCCAATTCTAATCTTTTAGATTAGAATTGGCTATAACTAAATTTAACTAGAATTAGATTGCATGGTATTCTTATTCTGTTATGATTTATGACTTATAAAAAGTCACAATATTTACTAAACGGTTCCTTACAATTTACATTAAACAAACTAAAACTTAAAAAAATAATATCACTGCATACACTTTAAGTTATTTTAGAAAATGTTCCGCGATTGTTTTGAGTTGTATCTTTTTAAAACTGAATTACTACCTATTCTCATAAAAGGACCGGTCGACTTAATTAAACTTCTCTAGTACCGCCACTCGAGAGCAACGACGATTGAACTTGTTTCCATGGCTAACTAAGTGAAATTGTTTAAAAATTATAAGAATTGGCTATAACTCAGTAATTTTTCGAAGAAAATATATTATAGCTTATATCGCTGAAAAGCTTAAAAATTGGCGCTTTTTATGGAGTCATGGCCAACTATGGTTTCCATTTAAAAAAACATATTTTTGTGTCATATGTCAAAAATGACAGGCTATAGAAGAAAACGGAGGACACAGTCTCATAAAGAATGTGATTATCTACAACTTTTATCTGAAAACTTTTTGTCTAAAATAGCTTATAATAGAATTAGGGACAATTTTTAAAATAGCCGAAATGTGTTTTTTTCGAAATATCTAGTAAGCCATGAACATTTTCAAAAATATGAAAGACGCATATTTATGACTCCACAAAACTGCAATTCTTTCCCCATTTAACCGACTCTCCAGTAGTTTCCGAGATACCCATAGAGAACATCGTAAGAAACTCACCCTGTATTTCGAGACTAATAAAAAAAGGAAGTCGGTCTCTTAATAAAGAAAAGTTATTTATTATTATATCAGTAAAATCATTAGATTGTTGAAGGATTGAACAATCAAAACAAACAATATGAAAGTCTCTGGAAATATATTTCCAGGATCATTCTCCTTAAATTATTTTTTAATCGAAATTTTCATATCTATTATTAACCTTTCCGGGACCGTGCTACAAAAAGTTACGTTTCAGGCCGTGTGGGGTAGCTAAGATACCCCAATGAAATATTTCACAAACTATTACCATTTTGTCACTCTGGTAAATTATTAATAATTATTTTTATAGTTTTATAATAAAACGTCAATAATTTAAATAGTTTGTATTTGTTTAATATAAAAAACATTTAATTTTTAACGAAAAAACATGAATAGTGCGTGTAGGATTTCGAATCATTGCAGGCTGTGCGGAGTAACGGAGGTATCCCAGGCAGTAAATTTCAGTTTTTCGCGGAAAATAAAAAAACATTTGGATATTTTTGTTAAAAAAGTGTTTTGTAATATATTTTCTAAGATTACCTGAGAAGAAAAAAGTGAAAAATAAAAATTGTAAAAGTTATTAAAGAAAAACCGCATCTGGGGTACCTAAAATACCCCGCACGGTCCCGGAAAGGTTTAAACTTCTGTGAATCAGCAATAGATAAATAAAAATATTTGAGACATATGTATTTACAAACCTTATTTCTAAATGTATAACAATGTTATCTAATATTTCATAAAATAAAACAAAATTCGCAAACAAGTTTTTTGACTTTTCCCTTTTTATTAACATATCGAATTGAAATAACCTGTGGAAATAACACACTGAATATTTTCTGTAATATCTGTTGTATCGCCTGCTTGGACGGAATAATATAACGCGCTTTTTATTTCGGATTCTATATTAGTTCTGTGGCGTGTTCTGAAATACAACCTGTTATATCATTTTGAATCGTCTTGGACAAGCCCGAAAAACGTTTCAAATTTGCTGTAAATGTTTTTTGAATTTCCATGTAAAAGTTTTAAATACTACGTATAATGAATCATATGAAATATCGGGACGAAATATCCCTTAAACTTCTAAGCCTACCGAGCCACCGCGACTTCATGCAAAGGCGACCGAAGATTTCGCCTAACGCTTCGTCCTACGTGGGAGAAAAAAACGCGCGATTCGGGCGGGCGGTAACTCACAGTCTTTAAAAGATTGTGAGTTATTGTGAGTTATTTGTCCCCTTACCCGCCTTCAGAGGTTTTACTTTGATAGTATTTTTGTGTATTGGCAATATTAATAATAAATAATGTAATGTAATAAACCGCTTAAATTCTGACAAAATTATAGGGTAGGCGCCGTCGCCGCCTATCTTGCCTACCCTGACGAGCCGCCACTGCATTAGACAATTTTTTTTAGATAAAATCAACGGTCAATATACTGAAAGACTTGCGCTAGGGCTTTAGACGTTTAAAGTTATGAATAACTTTCTTCCATTTTTGAAAATGCTGTGTTAAGTTTGATTCTCACTATACCTTCCATTTCCATTCCATATCCGTTCCGTATTTTTTATTGTATTGACGCTATACGTAAGCTTCCGTTCCATATTTTTTATTGTACGATTTATATCATTACGGAAGTTTTATTTTAAAAATTTGTATCATTTGAGAATGGTAATAGATTTAATTAAGAGGTGAAAGAATAAATAAATAGCAACAAAATTTTAACAGAGCTGGTACAATGTAAGAACATGACAACGCTGTTTCCGACACGCTTCAGTCCGTTCGCCAAAAAAAATGTATGGAAGGAAAGGATATGGAACGGAAGGGAAACGGAACGGCTAGTGTGCATTGACCTATTCATTTACTTGAAACGTCCTATTCATTTACATAATATTTTATGCGGAAGGGAGCCGATATGGAAGGTATAGTGAGAATCAACCTTTAGATGGAGAGGAGGGTTTAATTGGCACTTAGAAAATTAAACAAAAAATAATTTTAAATATACTCACCGAAACGAAATACCTTAAAATTTTGATGTATGGTAATCGCAAAACAATTTCCGATGCACGTGATCAACTTTGAGTGACAAACGATTGCGACAGCGCTGCCAGATTGTGATGGATTTATGAGATTAATCTTAATTTAAAAGTGACAAACAATATATCATATCATTTTAAAAAATACGTTTTATTTTTAATTTAATAACTAATATTTTAGTAATTGATTGATTTATTTGTTTTATAGCTTATTTTACTTATTACATATTGGCAAAAACTAGTCGATTAAGAAGATTTATTTTGGGTTATTTATTTATTGATTGATGTACATCTTACAACGCCATAAGTGGTAATAACAAGTATTATAAGAGGGTGCTATTAATGAACAAACTAATAATCACAGAATTTTATAGAAACTAACGTAGAAATAACTTTGAAAGTGGTGTAATGTGCTTATCAATCAAACTTACTTCTCTGACTGCAGTCAAGGGTAATATGACCTTTATTTTCACGTTCTCGTTCAAAATAGTTTATCAGGGAAGCTACAAGCTCTTTGCTTCGACTGTTTAAATGCTTCGGCATATTTTCAACACACAATTTCAAGAAATGCAATACAAATAGTTGAAAATTTAGTTCTTAAAAAAGTCTATAAAAATAGGCAAAAAACGAGAATTACTCACAAAGATGCAACAACAACACGATATTATACAAAATAATGACTGACATTAGGATAACTATTAAATAATAAACGACCTTGCTGAAACCGGCGCAATGTGACCAACATAGCGATAATAAAATTCGGTTTAAACTAATTTTTGCAGCTTTAATGTAAATAAAATATATCTGTTACAATCATTTGCTCTATAAAGTAAAATGAAGAACAGCTCCGTATATTAAATTATGCAACAAATTTAAACATTTTTGCCAAAATTTCATTTAGTCAGGTTTATAGACTTTAGTGTCAATGTCGATATGATTGATGACGTGCATCGGAAAATGTTTTGCGATTACGGTACTTTAAAATTCTATACATGGTCCGGCAATAGTGCATCGAGCATCTCTAGCTCATATAAAAAAAGTTAGGGACTTTGTTTAAGTGCAAACCTAAGGTATGAATTAGGATGTATTTCAGGAAAATATTTTAAATTCTACAAGGTGGTCAAAAAAGTAAGTGGTACAGGATGATTTTTTTAAATGGAACACCCCTCGGAACACCCTGTATATTATTGCATTTTTGGCTGCCTTTTTGATTACTTTACATAATATATACTAAGATATTATTAAATATGTTGCGCAATATTAATATAAATATAGTAGTCCAACTGTCACAACCAAAAAATGGCATCACTGACAATTTTTTACTACACTAAAATATAACATTTGTTTAAACAAATTGAAATATTACAAAAACTTATAACTTTAAGTATATAACCTAATACATAAAAAGTTACAGAATTTTTCACAGAATCTAAAAATAAAATAAAAAATAGGGCGTTGCATTTAAAAAAACATATTTTAATCCGCCACACTTTTTTGAAATACCCTTTATAATATTCTGCAATAATTTTAAAACGTGTATCTTAACCTCCCCTATAACTTCTATGTTTAACATTTTTTTGTCAACCTCGAAACAAATGAGATAATGGACTTTATCGTTGACTCACCCTGTACAGGGTGTCCCAGTTTGGTTGAAATCATACGGTATCTCTACTATTAGTGAAGAAGAAGGATGCAGTTTGCACAAACCTGTCCCACTTTTTTGTTAAACGAAAGATGATGCAAACAAAATTTTCATAGCTCTCTTTGTTTCTGAGCTACAGGGTCTTTTTGAAAATTTTGCATTTTGGGACACCCCCCGTATCTCTGTTATTGGGAAAGGTATCGAGAAGGTAAAAACCATAGACTTAAAATAAAATATAGACTACACTATTTACATCTCAACGCGGTCAAAGAAGCTTTTTTATACACATGTTTACTTCTGGGTACAGTCGACCGAGCCTTCCTCATCCAGCCTATGTTGTCACGTCTTTATATTATCAATTTTTTTTTTTCTTGTTATACACATATATTGAGATATTAATACTACAGTTTAATAAAGTAGGTTTTAATATTCCATAGATGTATTAAATAGTCCTTATACTACTAAATTATAAGTCGGATACTGTTTAAAAAGGATAAGTTCATTACAATATGACAACACCGATTAGAGGCGAGGGAGCCTATTCATTCATTTATTACCTTGTAACTTTTATACCAACAAATTGAATGACAAATTGAATGCGTCAATCAATCCTAATTTATGTCATATACTAACATACTAAATCTTGTTTTTTTATTTGAAAATATAAAAAAATTATGGGGGATGAGCCACTTTTGGGACACACCCGGTATAATAAAGACAGTACCGATTTAAATAAATGTAGTTTTCATTTTATCCACTTCCTATCACCTTCCTTGCTTTAATGGAACAAATTTATGTTATCTCTAATTTACATAATAAGACATCACTTAACCAGAAAAAAAACTACAACAATCATATTTTTTTTTCTCTCGCTGTCGCCGATTCTATTATATCTGTGGAATCCTGTTTTGATTAATATTAGGGGTTGTAAATGTTTGACTAAAATTAATAATTTATTATTAATTTCAAAAATTACCTAATTTCCATTATAAAAAAAGTATAACTTGAAAGTTATCGTACGGAAACTTTTAGATATTGCTTTAAGTAATTTACGTGAAATATACTTTCAATATACTTTTAGCAAGATGGGGCTTTCACTAACTACTTTGAAAATATTAGAATTTTGTTAAATTATTATTTCTGAAATCAATGAATTGGAACCAATGGACCCATATGATGGCCTCCCTGATTCTTGGATTTGTCCGTTCTCGATTTCTGATTTTCGGGATTTTTAAAATATGAAATATTCCGTGGCAACTACAACAATGTCGAACACCTGGAATATTCTGTAATAATGCAAGCATTTAGATATTTACAAACCTATCCTTTTATAATAAATTCCGTTATAAAGAAAGAAAAATATATTCAGAGATTCAGTGGTAACAGTTCAAAAGTAAAATATATCAATCCCAAATAAAATGTTAATGTGTGTATGAGTATTTTAGCAAATAACATTTTGATTTTTATGTTATTTATCACGGCCTACTAATAAAAACTGATATATTTTAAATATTGGAGTAAATTGACAATAAATATAGTGGTATATATGTTTGACCAGCTCATAGCAAGACGGACCAAATAATTTATAAATACAGAGGGCGGTCCATTGGAAAAAACATAACTTTAGTTCATATTTTCAAAAATATTTTTTCCGTAGAAAAACAGACTACGCCACTGTATTCTACGTAAAAAGTTCGATAAGAATCAGTTTTCACCTTCTCGATATCATCCACAATAACGGAGATACGGGGCTGTCCCAAATTGCCAAATTTTCGAAAAGACCCTGTAGCTCAGAAACGAAGAGAGCTATAAAAATTTTGTTTACAGCATTTTTCGTTTGACAAAAAAGTAGGACAGGTTTGTGGAAACCGCATCCTCCTAACTTTACTAATAACCGAGATACCGTATGATTTCAACCAAAATGGGGCACCCTGTACAGATTAAAATACATTTTGAATCTATGTTCGGGTCTTACTTTTTAAACTAGGTATTATTTATATATTTTAAACATAATTTTTTTATATGTTATAGGATATAGGGAACCTGAAAATATCTTATGACAAAAGGGATATTCTAGACCTGGGAAGTAATCTAACAGAAAATTGGCAATTGACACATCCACCAGAAGGAAAGATGAATCATACAAATACTAATTTATTTTTACGTACGCCATGCCAACTCATTGGCTGCGATTTCGAAGATATGTTTCCCTTATTTAAATAAAAGACTAATTTCAATCCCGGAAATCAAATATGTTTTCTGTGTTTCTATAAAAAAAAAATAAAAAAAATCCGTATATTTGCTGGTAGGTACCAAATATTCACGCATTAAGTACGCAGCTAAAAATAATTTTACCTGGAATGACTGTTTAAATGTCTCGTGAGCCTTTCATTTTCAACATGTTTTCTTATTTTAACTATGTTTTCATATTTTCAAATGCAATTCTTATAAACATAACCTTTTAAAATTTTTAATTCATATTTTTTTATATGTTTGGCTATCTGAAAATATGAAATAATTCGTATTTTTGTTTGTATTTTATGTTTTATTACGTTTATTATGTATTTTGTGTTTTATGTAATTTGATTCATGTCTTCCAGATTAAAATAAAAGTGAATAGCCGATACGTTAAGAGGCATTTTAAGACAAATTAAATAAATTACAATTACATACTTAAATACATCCTAGAAAATTTAGAATAAGATGTCGAGTTTTTGGTTGTTATTAATAAATGGATAGTGTGTATCCAGAACTATTATGCTATACTTTAAGTGGTGATGTAATTAAAAGTTATAGTTTAAAAAAACAAAAAGGTAGTACACAATTATAAGCACAAGAAGAAAAAATTGTTTTATATACTTTGGTCTTTAAAATTATTTTGTTTTTTTTATCATTTCTTTCATTTATGAAATTGTAGTTATATTGCAATAATACCGTATGTTCAAAAAATGGCAGCAAGTTTATAAAAATTATTACTTAAATAATTAAAAAAAAAACGAGGAGCTGTGAAATAAAATATTGTGGTAGGAAAATGAATCAAATATTTTAGTGTCTTACAAAATTTTTTATATTATTATTAAATTTTATGTATCATTCTACATGTTGTAATTTATTTCACAAAACTGATTATTGTATAGCATTTATTCCTAAACGCTTTTTACTGGAATTTACTGTATAAATGCATCAAAAATAGTTTGTAAACATTAAGCATTTTATTTAATACAAAAAAACTAGAATTGCTTTCGACAAAATTTTAATATCATCAGCTAATATTACCAAAAGTTATACTTGTAAATTCCAGTATTTTTTATAATAAAGAACTTATATACAGGGTCGCTGATTTGTATGGAACCGGTCGATTATTGGGCAAAGTCATAAAGGTCACGCAAAAAGTTAAATACAAAAGTTATAGGATTTTTAAATGGAACCCCCGGTATATTATTGGATATTTCAATTCGTCCTTCAATTTTAAGCAAAAATGGTAATACACCATAATGTGCCCAAATCTATCCGTTTCCGAGATATCGAGTTTTGGTTTTGAAATGTTAAACGAAAATTTTGTAATTTCCAGACTTGATATAATCTGATTTTATCCATCTATAAATGCTAACTTGAAAACTAATGTCAAAGTATCACAGATGTGCGCAGAATGACATCGCTAAATGAAACCGAATACATCGAAATTAATTAAATCGAATTATTGTTTATGTAATATTTTCAAGTCAATAACTCGGAAACGGTTGGTTTGAGGTAGATTGTGTGATATCTATTTTTGCTTAGAATTGAAGGAAGAATTGAAATATGCAATAATATACAGGGGGTTCTATTTTAAAAAAATCAAACTTTGATGTGCCACGACTTTATGACCAATCCCGTATACTTTTATAATTAACCCTTTAACTTTTATATTTAACTTTTTGCGGTACCTCGTATATTTTATTCAATAGTCGACCGTTTCCATACATATCAGCGACAATGTATTTTAGACTAATGAAAAATTTATACTAATGAAAAACTGTGTTTAGGTTTTAGTAATAAAATTAACTGTGATACATGTGAGTTAATTTTTTAACAAACTTCCACAAGAGGTGATATATTTTTATATAATGTATGTATTGCTCTCAAGTATAAAATACCATACAATCGAAAAAATTCGGCGTCAGAGATGACTTAGAAATGAAGATCGCTGCCAGTTGTATGTAAAATTATATGGGGAACATCCTCGATCGTTATTTCCAAGCCAACTGGAAGCCGTGTTTTATTCGGTCATACAGTAATTTTATGAATAAATATATAGGTTATCCCGATAATATTTATTTATTTAGTGTACGTCAGAAAGTTTGTCCAGGTAGTGATTTTAAGAAAAATAATTATAAGTATGTATTTTTCTCTATAATTCATACTCATATAAATATTTTAATAAATTTTAATTCTACCGAAACATGTAGAACTTTTATTAGTCAATAATATTAAAATTTTCCTTTACTTTTTTGTCAGTTTATCAGTCCCAATCCAAACTGTTGTATTACCCTAACCGGGTGCTCACCGCTAAGTGGCTAAAAGTGGCTCACCGCTATAATTTTCTTATTTTTTCAGATAAAGAAACCAGATTTGGTATGTTAGTACCGTATGATTGAAAAAAAAACTGCGTCCAGTTGGCTTAGAAATAAACATGGACGACATTCCCCATATAATTTTATATATAAAATGACAGCGATCTTCATTTCATAGCCATCGCCTGACGCCGCTTTTTCTCCATCATATGGTCATTTATGTCATATATGACATAAAATATGTTTGATTGACGTATTCAGTTGTTTTTGGTCTCTTCCTGTTTCACCGGAAATAACTACAAGTTTTGATTTTTAAATGGCACCCTTGATATATTTCCACTTTATTCTATAGAAAATGACACTCTGAATAGAATAACATTTCATATGTAAACTTATGACCTTTTTGGCATATGGTTTATTTGAAATTGTAACATGCGATTCATAACGACAACTTGACTCGAAATATCATGTGTGTGGTACAAAATTATTCCTGAAAATTTGATTTTTACAAAAATACTAATGAACCACGCCCGTTCCATTTGAAAGAATTGAGATATGATTAAAAATACGATTTAACCATTTTTTAATATAACGACAACTTGACTCGAAATATCATGTGTGTGGTACCAAATTATTCGTGTTATAGGGGTGAGCCAATTTCGAGAAGCACCCAGTATACAGGGTGTCTCAGAAATACTCGTACGTGCAAGAATTTTAAGGGTATATAATACATTGTGGTAGATCTGGTCAAAAGAAACATCTTTTATATTTACCATTTTTAAAATAAATTCAAAATAGGTAAGATATTTAGTCTTGAAAATTTTAAAAAATAATGCTAACATTTTGACAACCGCTAACTACAATCGGTTATCAACCGCAATTACCCAGATCCCTGCTTCTTCGATGCCCTGTATTGCCAAATCATCAAGGAAATAAGTAAATACTTGAATAAAAAATGTCTTTCAATATTTCACCAAAAGGGTTATGTAGAGGTTTTTTTAAAAAGCATATTCGATAGTGTCACCAGTATACCGGGTGCGTCTCAAAAGTGGCTTACCCCTATAACTTTTTTATTTTTAGAGAAAAAAACGAGATGTATACGACATAAATTAGGATTGATTGACGTATTCCTGTTTCACCTGAAATGACTACAACTTTTAATTTTTAAATGGCGCCCTAGGTATTTTGTTACGTTATTCAATAGAAAATGACATTCTGAATAGAATGACATATCATATGCCAACTTTTGACATTCTTGGTGAATAAAAAATCGAATTTTAAAATTTAATATAGAGTGCCATGGCTATGTCAAAAACACTAATTTTTAATCAAGGAGCCTTGGAAAAATAGATAATAAATACAAACAAAATAGATCTTCTAATGTTTTTAATGCCTGACCAGTTAGAAAATGCTCAAATCGTATTTTTAATCATATCTCAATTTTTTCAAATGGAACGAGGGTGGCTCATTAGCATATTTGGAAAAAAGCATTTTTTTGGAATAATTTGATATTACACACTTAGTTAAGTGTGTAATAGAGATCAAATTTTCGTTGCCAACAGAGATCAAATTTTCGTTGCCAACTGCAAGTTATAATTTCAAATAAACCATATGCGAAAATGTCAAAAGTTGTTGATTTGTTATTCTATTCAGAGTGTTATTTTCTATCGAATAAAGTAGTATAATACCGAGGGTACCATTTAAAAATCAAAAGTTGTAGTCATTTCCGGTGAAACAGGAAGTGACCGAACACAATTGAATACGTCAATCAATCCTAATTTATGTCATATACTAACATACCAAATCTCGTTTTTTTAACTGAAAAAATAAAAAAGTTATAGGGGTGAGCCACTTTTGTGACGCACCCGGTATTGGATACTCCCACAAAATAAATTAGTTAAAAAAACTTACCTATAGTCTGTCCAACGACAAAATCCTTGACAGTGATAGATGTGTCTGTCATTTTATTTCAAAGTAGTTAATTTTATTTTATAAAAAAAACAAGTTGGTACAATTTGGAAGGCATAGCAGGAAATTAATATATTTAAAATTTGAGTGACAAGGATTACTTCAAAATATTGTGAAGTTTTATTGTATAACTTTAGTCTTAACTTTTTAAATCAGTACGTTTTGACATTATCTTTCTGCAGTACTAAAATCCATTATTTACCTATCGTGTGATGGATGTTATTTTACAGCAATTCCAGTGTGAGTTTTAAGCATACATATGTTCGACGAGATGGTATACAAACGAGATGATATACAAACTTTATTAATGGTAACTTTATTGGTGTATAAAACTCTCTGCCTGGGCACCGAATATTAATTATAAACTGTGCTCTGGGTCTATAGTTAATTCTCCCCCAATTTTTCCTTTACTTAACTTCAAAGACACAAAACACACGTAATAACACGAATCAAAATACATCATGTTCTAAAACGCAGTGTATTTGACATAATTTGACAAAAAATTATAACATAATTTGACAAGACTTTGACAAGCCTCAAAAATCTAAGGACGAGTTCATACGCATCTGCGTCCGAGATTCGTTCTTCATTCCGTCACTCCAATAATATTCAAAATATGATCTGTCATTTTTGAAATAAACCAATAAAAGTGGTTAAAAACAACAAGAGACGATGCATGACAAATTTATAACCTTTATAAACCCATCCATACTTAACTTAAAAAATACTAGAAACTTTTTTTAGCGAAATAAATAGATTGGTATGGACGTCATCTGTTTTTTTTTCTGTCATCGTCTGTCGAAATCTTACCTGAGAAAAAAAACAGAGTATAGCGTTAAAATAGTGGTGGCAAAATTCCGATCGCAGGCTGATGTAACGCTTAGCCACAGCCTATATGTTCTTCTTTTCCATTTAGCACTCTGTCATAAAAACGCAACATTAAACTTGAGTACACTTCACCTCACTGTGATTCTGAACAGTAAACTTACAGTTAAATTTCCTAAATTTCCCTAAACACCAAGGATAACAGAATATACCGGGTGGTGCATCGTCATTAGAAACATAGGAATGCAGTTTTTCTCAAATTACTCAAAATCGGCTTGTTCGAAATGCTTTAAATTTTGCATGTGTGTTTACCAATCGTAGACCTATAAAAAATCTATTTACGACTTCGCTATAAAATCAATAGGGAAGCCAATATTTGAACAGTTCCAAATTTACATGGGATTTCCTATTGTTACATTTTTCGTCGGTTCCGTGTGGATAGAAAGTCACAATTTATTTA